CTCACAAGAGGATATCTTGCAGACACTAATTTCCTAAAAACAGAAAACAGAGACTGTCCCACCACACCAGGGCAAGGGAAAAGTATTTATTTGTTTAACTGATAGACGTTTAACAGCGGATTCACGTTAGCTCCTGCAACACAATTTCATTTGGGAGCTAAGTGAACACCACTTAGTGAGGCATATTTTAAGGCTCCTCTCACAAAGCTCACTGAGGTTAGAGCTCCTTGGAATACAGGTGACTGAACCAGACTCCCCCTGGAGCTCAGCAGTTCTTCTCCTCAACTGACCTACGCAACTGCTTTTCAGCAATATTTGATGCACCCCCTCTTCACCAAAGACTAACTTTCCATGTTTAGCTTTTAATATTTTTCATCAGCTTTGTCATCAGCACCTGTGACTCAAAGCCTCAAGCACTGGCCTCCTGCACTGTGGCACATATGGAACTTAAGCTTTACAGGCCATCTCATCACTCCTTGACTCGGAGTCCAAATATAAGTAGGTTCCTGTTTAAAAAGGCAATAGCTTTCATTATGTTGAGCTCCTAGGTTTGATTAAAGAATGGCAGTAAAATGCTTTTGTGAATGAAGACTCTTTCCAGCTAACACCTGTCTGGGACCTCTCACAATCTTGCCAGTTGATGTGTTTGAAAAGCACGTTCTTCTGCGTGTCATAACGGGTAAGTGAAAACCAAACCAAAACAAAAACCATCCCACCTCCCTCTCCTTCCCCAGCAACCCGAGGCACGCTTATTCTTTGAACTGGAGAGCAGCTGAGCTGACATGTGGCTCACTTGCCAGTCTGAAACTGCAGTGCTGGGGAACTCTAGGATTTTGATATTCAAACTCTGTATTTGTACCGCCAACATTTAACCTCACATTCCAGGGCGGGGTTGGGCTGAGAGCCCGGGACATTCCAAAAAGCATTCCAACCAGCAAGGCCCTGGAGGTAGACCCACAGTGAGTGCATCCACACTAAAGGCTGGTAAAAATATCTCTGCATTCCCATTCACATTTCTAGTAAGCAGAATACAGGGAGGACAAGCTATAGTTCTCCACACACCCATGGACCACACTTCGGCAGGTATCATTACAAATACTCCCTGCAGCATCACTAGCAAGTGAAAAAATACAACTGCTTTTTTGGCTGATGGAACAAAAAACCCTCCAGTTGTTTCACAGAGTTCCACAAGATTAATAGTGAAACATTTTCACTAAGCAAATACTTAAAATAGAGCACAGCTTTCATCAGTATTGACCAAGTATCATATTCACACCACATTAAATTAAAAAAAAAAAAAAAAAGAAAGAAAAAAGAAGAATAAAAGAGGTTTCTGAAAAGTGAAGCTAAATATCCTCCAATCCAACTGTGGTCTCAATTGCCACCCTATGCAAGAATGCTGAAGTGCAATGACTGGATTGGTAAGTACCGCAGAAGTCAGCGTATTTTTCGGAAAACAATAAAAAACCCGCCACCTTCTGTTTCAGCAAGGTACAGCAGGGAAGAGAAGCACGGCAGAAACTCAGAGTAACCAGCTGCTCTTTAAAAGCAATGCGGATGTAGTGATTTTTAGGAGGAAAGCACTGCTCACAGAAGTAATTACCACTGGTGCTGAGAAGGGAACACACACGATGAATACAATTATCCTATCTGTAGAACTGGTTAGGACGAAATGAATGATCGAAGTAGGATAAGTCATCACACATTAGTTCTAACAGAGTTACAAGGAATCAAAGTATGTAACAGAAATACATTAAATCACAACATTCTGACAAGCACATACATCTACATACACAAGAGCAACTTTTCTTTGGTTCTTCCTGAAACTGATCAAAGATGTCAAATGTTACACTTTCTAGCCATTTGCCAGAACTGCAGGCCTTCTATATTTAGCATTAGAAGCTCATTCCAACAGAGTGACTCCTCACTCATTTTCACAGGCTCTGTTTGACCTATCCATAACTACAGCACAGACAACCCTGCTAATGTGTACAACCAGTGCAGAGAGTTAAGAGGAGTCAGTGTAACATTGGCAACTATGTAATAATTTCAGGAAGGATTTGAAAACATGCAGTTATTAGAAAACAAAAATATACCCCTCAACATTTAGTACCCATTTGATTTAATACACACACTTTGCAGACAAGTGTTAACATTTATTTTGCTCATAGCAAATTATGCAGCAAGTTTTATCCAACTCTCTACAGCAACAAAGCCAAGGCACATATTCTGTAATATGAGTAATAAAGCGACTCCAGGCTGGTACTCATACCTGTGTTAAGGTATCTATTTTCTACTACAGTTACATGTGAATTTTTGACAGCATCCTGCAGAAATCTGCTCAGCTGTTCAAATGAACCCAAGATTTCCACCTTCTGAAGCAACACTGGAACACCCACCTCTCACCACAAACCTGTGCTCTGAATTGCATGGAGTCACTGGCTGGAAGGAAGCAATTGAAAAGTCTGCACAGGCTGTACCTCACTAAGGAGGCAGGAGGATGCACATTCACATCACATGACAGAGTAACAGAAATAAAAACCCCCATGGTACACTGTTATGAAGGCCTTGCCTTCTAAACTGAATGACCCTATCTTGCTTCTTTTAGAAGTACAAGTCAGCAGTGGCACTTTCTCCTGAGAAATTTTTTGGGTTTTTTTCTGAGTCAAAAGATAAATAACATGCTCTTCATGACTGACTTATCTATAAACTCATCCCAATCCACTGTAACTTCCACTGATACACAGTAATTGTGCTGCCATACAACTTTACACTGTACTTAAGCATCACCACCTATATTACCAAAGATTCAATTTTCCTTTTAGAGAATGATTATGAGACTGAGCCAGATCCTTCTGTGTGGCAGGATGAAAGACAATGGGCACAAATTGAAATACAGGATATTCCATGTAGAAAAAGGAAAAAATCCCCACTTTTGCTTACCTTAAGGGTGCTCAAACACTGGAATAGGTTGCCAAGAAAGGCTGTGGAGTGTCAGTCCTTGAAGATGTGCAAAACCCACTTAGACATGGTCCTGGGAAACCTGACTTAGTTCACCCTGCTTTGAGCACAGGTTTGGACCACACAATCTCCAGAGGTCCTTTCCACACTCAAACATTCCATGATTCTATTACATTAGACCTTACAAACTACACTGGTAGCAGGACCTAAAAATGACTTTTTCTTTATTACTATGGCTCCAAATAGTTCTGACAAAAGTAAGCTATTCAGATAGAACTTATACTAGAAAACAGGCTACTTCTGAAATTTGATTAATACTGCAGATTTTTTTAGTGCTTCAAACTGTAGCACTAAATGATATTGAATGTAAACATATTAAAGTACATTTACTGCAATGTGCAAATTGAACAAGGAAAGCTTCCTTCTTCCTAGACTGTATAGATTTACTGTCAATTACTCTAATTGAAACAGCAGACATTTTAACTTCACAACCCTGAATATTATCTGATGAGATATTGTTCTTCCTTTTTAAAAGACAGTTTAATTTGGTACTATCACTTGAGGAAAAGAATCGAATTTTTAAATAGAAAGATTATTTATGAATTATGACCAAATGAATTATATCTTGCACATTCTTTATAAAAAGTAGTTTAGAGATCATGGCATGATACATTCCCATCACTTTGTTTTCATACCAGAGCTGCGAATCTCAAGATCCCTCACACTGTTGGGGGAAACTAAGCCACTGTTTCAATAAACTGTTAATAACATAAATCTCTGAATTCTTTTGGCATTCTTTTGAGGATTCAGAACTCTAATTTATATCAGACAGGCTCAGCTGAGTTGTCATGAATCAGACAGGGTCTGTATCCTCTCTTGGCATACAGCATTTACTTACAGTTTAATAGGAAGTTGTGATGATGGAAAACAAAGGAGAGAACACGGGCCTTTGATCAAGCCCCTGTATCACCAACAACTGATTACTGAGACAAACAAGGTCACATTTCAAGAACATGCAAGGCCATATTCGGATGGCCATTACTGCAAGTAATCTACTTGTAGACATTTACAAGGACTTTCAAGTCCAAAAGACAAAACTCAAAGGGCCTTCATTCAAAAAAGTCATTGCTACGAGGTGTGGCTCCAGTTCCTTACTGGGAAGACACAATTGTTAACACCTAAGACCAGGAAAGGATGGTTAATTCTACTGTCATATTTCTAAAAGGCAAAATGTAGTAGAAATTATCACAGAAGAACGTTATTTTAATAATTGTCTTACAATTTTAAAGTCCTTCTCTCTAAAAAAAACCTTCTTCTTGATATACATGAGGAATGTAAATGAAGTTTGCAAAACATGCATAAAATTCAGTTGACACAACTATGTCTACTTTGCTAGTAATTATTTTCCTACATTGATTTTTCTGATTAATTGCAGTTTCATTCCTCTGCTTGTGGATGATGTATTAATGCATCTCTTACCAGCACACTGTAGACTCATTAAAAATAAAAAACAAGTAATGAAACCAATGACAAAATTGCTTTTAAAATACCTGATATTTTAAAAAAGTTTATTATTTGGATTAACTTCTCCATGTTCATTAAAATCAAGTTCCTAATTATCACCTAAAAGGCACCATAGGGACAGTGAGTGGTGAACAGTAAACATCTCAGTGGCATTTTTCACAACTGGGAAATTTATCTGTCTCTGAGAGAATCCAAATGAAATGTGAACAGCAAGATATACAAATAAGATCTCATTTGTGGCTGCATAGGCATGAAACCTCTAATTTCCATGCTATCGTGGCATCTTCGGCACATTCCTGTCAGAAGTTTCTTCAATAAAATTAGCTTTTTTATGGGAAGGCTCAGCAAGATCCTCTCCATGGTCTCTGCTAATCAAGCGCTCCTGGTCTCCCCTCTTGCGTTTGTTAATCAGGTGATTTTCTCCCTCACAGAGCTTTCCCTCTGGGACACCCAACGTCCTCAGACAGACAATAGCTGCAGCCTGTTCTGCCAGTTTCTTGGACTTGTCCCTGAAGAGCAAGCACACAGAGCACACGTAAAAGTAGAAACTGAGGTCTCTACACTGCCAAGACACAACTTCCTGTCTCTGATGCAACATCATGAAACAAACAGCATTTGTAGCCATCTCACAGCAGAGGAACAAAACCGGTCAGTTCCAGAAATTATTTCAATCTTGCTAGGTGTCAAGTGTTGATGCATCACTTCTGATGCAATATTCCTAGAAAATTTGTCTCTATCGGGTCTTGTCTCTCAAAACACTCTTCAATTCAAAGGCACACAGTCAATGTGTGTTTGGCCCACACAATCCTCAGAAAGGAAACTTTTACAAATCTGATCACTAAACAAAACATTTATGAAGGATCACTCTTCTTGAAAGAGGCTCAGGCATAGGTACTCTCTGGCAGATGTGCAAGTTCACTGATGCTGGCAAAAGCAGGAACTGCTCCATAATAATGAAAGTTTTGTCATTTCTGAGAAAGACTGCACATCACACATTTGTGGAAGTCAGTATTTTAAAACATTTTCTTCTCAAAATTTCGTATCAGCATAACTTCCTAAAGTCTCTGAACAGGAAGGCTGCAAAGCAGCTGTGTGCACTTGTCCTGTTTAAAATGTTCAATGCTGAGCTCTAGCTTTGCAGTTAAATCAAGATCACCTTAGGTGAAAATGCCTCAAGTCAGCTCTGGTATTAATAGATGACTGTATAAAATACCATCACGAAACTTTACAGCAGCCCTGGATGTAGCTGCTAATTAACTGTGATCTCCAAGAACTCAGTGTACTGTCCTCTGCTTCACTAGATATTGACACTCAGTCCTGACTTCTTATTGGGAATGGATCTGCTGCCGTGGCTGAAGACACAACCTCCTCCAGCATTCCCCTCTGCCTCCCTTGGCTTCTTTCTGAACTCATCACATACAGAATGGAACTGGGTCACCTATTTGCTCCCTTTCCAATACAACTAGTGGACTACCACAAAGTGAATTAAAACCTGTAACCATTTATTTGATTATGCCAGTACTTACTTCCTCTTGTCACACTCAATTCTCAGAAGTTTTTAATCCTTTCTCCCTCCTAGAGGTAGCTTTAGGAGGTAGCTTTTAGTTGACCTTTATCAGAGCCAACTGGAATAAACTGGAATACCCTTTTAATGTAAGATTTTAAGCAACATTTCAGAAACAAAAATCCAGCTGAAAAACCCATTAAGGATGGCTTACCACAGAGTTGATCGGTATTTTTGCTCAGCTACTGTCACTACTGAACAGAATAATCTATCCAGTGGTCTTTGAACCTGTAGAAAAATAGAATTAAAAGGGAAGGGGCTGTCAAAAACCAGTCATGTAATTTACAGTAGAAACAACATCATCAACATTCCTTCATAGGTATAAAGACTAAAAGGCATATAGGTATAAAGAATAACAAGTAACATAACTTTAAAATTACTCTAACTCAGACCAGAAATTTCACCATACATAATCAACATTAAAAAAATTAAGCAATTGTCCAAGCTGCAAATATTTTTTGTTTTACAAAAATAAAAAATAATCAAATAATGTCACCATCTAACCAAACAGGTGCTCCTGTCCCATACAGTTCCTCTCTGTAACAGTGAGCAACAGAAAACATTACAAGACTTAATTCTTTACTTCACAGATGTAGTAAAAGGAAGTCAGCCATGGGCTTCTATATAATGATCAAAAAAATACAGCAACTTCTTTCACACATGAATCAAAAGCAGACTGAAGGTCTGACTTTCAATTTTTTATTTTCTAGTAAAATAAGCTGCTATTCTCATACTCGTGTGCATTACCATTTCTACAGCTGCTTTCTGAAAGAGCTACATCAGACTGGGAAGCAGAATTTCTCAGTACCTTGAGTCCTAAAATACTTTATTTCATATACAAGGCAGAGGAAGAGGTTTGAAAGGGCTTTTCATTGACTCACAGTTTCATAAACAGGCTGGGGATGCTTTTCTTTCCTACACCATTCCAGAAGATACATTTTTGGAGTGATCTGTGGTGGATATTCTCGCCTAGGCAGAAAAATTTGTGGTCAACAATTGTGCACAAAATTCTATTTTAAAACAGACGGTGCTGCTTATTGTATTACTTCTACCAGTTATTTGAGGTTTGATTTTACAGCTCAGATTATGAAAAAGATGCTTCTTCCTCATTAGATAACTCAAATAATAGGTGTGACAAAACATCTAAAATAAAATCTCAAGTTTTCTATTAATTTTTCCTGAATATTTACATCCCATAGTAATACAGCTGGAGAAGAGATACTTACCAGAAAGGAGATTCTAACTAAATATGCAACACAGAAAAGAGATACAGTTTGGTACTGCTTATTATAAGTACTAATTATAAACTAGAAGAAAAAAGAGAAACTGTTACAAAGCAGTAATCAAATGAAAAAAGGGTAGGAAATGTAGGAATTTATTCAGTTACTGACACAGAATTACAGCCCCTTGCATGTGGCAGAACAAAAGATTATTATAAAATCTGTATGCAGTTCTCAAGGAGTCAGGTAATATATCCTCTAAATATTAAAGCATTATGACTGGATTTGTTGAGCATATTACATATCCCACTCTTCTTGAGCTGTTTGATAGGCCTCTTAGCAAAATCAGCAAACACGAGTTTCACAATGAAAGTAACAGCAATTCTATAGGCTTCACAGAATATAATTAAAAATTATATAAAACAGAATTCAACTCAATGAATTAATTTTTCAAGGAATAGCTTATGAGTGGAACACAGAAGACTTCAGATGAGCATGTTAGAATACTCTAAGAGTATTAAAAATTTTGTTAAAAATTTAAATTTTATTATTATTAAATTTCATTATTATTAAATTTATTATTATTAAATTTAATTAAAAAATTTGTTCAGGACTTCTTATAGAAAAATTATTATGTTTTAGTCAAACTTCTCTACATCTTTATACTTTTCTACATAGACATGTTATTTTTTCTCTCTTTTAGAGCACTCAGCACTTTTAACAAGTTAACTGAGAGAATTAAGCAGTCTCAGGAAGCCTGGAACTAAAGAACATCCTACAACATCCAGATAGCACAGGAAGAGTGGTGATTATGCAATGATGTTCACTTATTGCTTCATAGGACTTCACTCAGTAAGTACTGTTTTGCAAATCATCATTTTCAAAAAACTGTTGAGACACTGTCAACCTCACATTTATTACTCAAAGATGCAAGAGAGTGAAAAACTTGATTAGCATACTTACTTGTCAAATCTAATAGCCATTTTTATTACATCTGGATCTTCCATTTGGTCATCTTCATCTTGCATCTTGGTTTCCAAAGATGTTTTCTTTGCTTCAAAAATAGCTGTGGTTTCTTCATAGAAGTCACCCATTTCAAAGACTTCACTACGCAAATAGAATTCCTTTATATTACACATCAATTTACAAACTTTTGTATCACTTTTATGACAGAGAAACAAAATGTAGAAATCAATTGTGTTTATAGTATATGTTAAGAGTACAGAGAGTGAAGTGGAAGTGTGCCTATATTCTGCACAGTAGCATTACATTGTTTCTCTTTCAATTCTTACCAGACATTGTTGAGCTACAAGTAGAAAAAGAATATTCTGATTTCCAGCACTACACGTACAATTTGTAGCCTGGAAGTACAGGCAGAATCAGTCAGAAATACAGGTCCTGCAATGTTCAAGTTATTAGCTCATTTGAGTAACTTGCAGTTGGATGAGTCAGCGAACAAACATCTCAGAGTGAAATCTGGTCCATCAGCTCCACAAGGGCAATACAAGCAAGAAGCAGAGAAAAGATTCTTCTTCTAATTATAGTGATTAAAAATACTATAAGCAATAAACACTATAGCATCCAAACCCCTCAATATCTCTGATTTTCTGACTTCAGAGTATTATTCACAAGCCCAAATAAAGGGAAGGAGCAACCAGGATTTTAGTCAAAGGCAAAAGCCTCAAATCCTTTTAAATTTCAAATTCATTGCAGGCTGGATCTACTTTGAAAAAATGAGACTATTGATTTTCTACAGATGATAATGGCAATAAAACCTGCAGCAGAAAAGAAACTTCTTTTTCTATTATGAGGATGCTGGTTGATATGAGGCTGTTCAATGACAAAATGAATTCTGCCCAGAAAGCCATCTCCAATGCTCCAGGCAAAAAAGCAATGAAGCTGAACAATACTAACTTATGCTTCTAAGGGAAAGCAAATTTATTACACACTGCTATGTAAATGTTTTGTGGGAACAGGAGCAGGCTGTTCTCTTACATTCAGCACCGAGGTTAAAGCTCAAATGGCTGTAACCCATTCTCACCACCAGGAGACAGCAGAATTATGCACTATTTTTGTCTGAAGATAAACTGCTGCATTTTAGAAAACTGACTGTTCCTCAGTTATCTGGACAGGAAACAGGTTGTTCAGAACAGGGGTTAAAAGACCAAGTGTGCTGGCAGAAAGCAGTTCCATAAATTTTCAAATGGCTCTCTCTGTCTCCCTCTCTTCACACACATTGCTTTAGCCCATTTTGAAGCTGGTATTGCATCACATGTACAAAAACAGAGAGTTTGATTTTGGAAGTCCCTAAAGAATTGCTAAGCATAGCACATAAATCCCATAGTTTTACACTAGATCTCTATCCAGTGTTTATATGTATGAACTATGACATCTCTAATTACCTGTGTAAAACTGTTACTTTACAGTATCTACTTTGCATACTATGCACTGCTATTCATGCAGCAGAAAACACCAATGCCATTTGGGCTAAGACTTTTTTGAAGTTGCAGAATATTTGAGTTCCAATCTATACTACATTTTTTTTCCTAAACTCAAAATCTATAATCAAAATAGTCTGTTACTATCTAATATCTGTCTGTCTGTTAATCTAATACCTAATCTGTCTGTTAATACTAAAACATGTTAAATTCTTTAAGTTGCCAAAGTGAAAAGTAACTTGCAAAGTTGAAATGTTGTTCATGGATTACACTGCTCCTTTAAGAATAACGAAGGCTAGTTCACTTTATATATGCAATACAAATTCCCTTCATTGTAATGTAAGGCATAATTATTTACAGAAAGCCAAAATTGGCAAAAGGCAATAAAATTGAAAAAAGACTGCAAGCATTTCCATTCATTTTGGACATGAAAAGCATGCTGAACAGGGTTTGCTAGAAACTAATAAATTATTTTTCAAAATATTTCAAGCTTTCAGTATTTCCATCCATTTTTATACACATTATATATCAAACAGTTTCAGACCGCTCATTTTATAAAAAGACAAGGAAACTCTTCCCCTCCCTTCAATCAGAGGGATAATTATAACACACAACATGGATATGACACATGCAAGCTCAGAGCTTTATTTTGTTCAGTTTGTGATGTGTCCAAACCTGAACTCCCCTAGTTCTGTGCAAATTCTTTATTCATCTGCCTATTTAATGGTTTCTTTCAAAATTTTTTTTCTTTCATTTCTGTCTCTCCCACTGAAAAATTTCACCCGGTCTGTTTCAGATGTGCAGGATGGTAAGATTCTTTAAAGCTACTAGATTTCCTCAAAAAGATTGCCATCATTCATTAGGATATTCCAGGTATAAAAAGCAGCACAAAAAACTACATTTAAATACCATACAACCCTGATACATGGTTTCTAAGGGTTCATTTTAAAACAAATGTATTATAAATATTCCAGTAACATTAAAAAAACTACATGCAAGAGGGAAAGCTAAATCAAATAAATATCCTTGGAAGAAGACAAGTTCAGCAAAATTGCAGACAAGCTCAAATTTTTCTTAATCACTTCATGCAAATACTGGATAAATACCTGTCACTCAGTGAAGCACCACTCAAATTAGCATGCTGAATATAGAGAATTTTGGGGTTAAAGATTTAACATCTGAGCATGGGGGAAACCTGGAAAAGTTGACTCTGTTATTTCACATCTCCCATCTGGACTTTTTGGGGGGCTTTCTGCAACTTCTCCTGACAGTGTGAAATGCCAGGCAGTGCTAGACAGGGAAGTGTTGTGCAAGTTTGACAGAATACTGCTCCCTTTCTGAAGTCCATGCTTACCAGATCTCCTGTGTGGACTGTGCAGCATGAAGCTTCTTACCCTGAGTAGTTTCCAACTGCTCTCTTAGCATTTGACATAAGCAGTATTTAGTGTTGGTGTAGTGATTGTCATATCTCACTGCCTGATGGAAAGAGACAAAGAATTTAAAAACACACCAAACAAATTTATCTTCTATACTGCACATGGTGTCTTGATGACTTTCACAATTATTTTTTGAAAAGAAAACCACAGTGCAATCTCCTCAGTAACATACTCAATATTACCCATGGGTGTGACTATAATCTGATTATTTTGGCATAACTTCATGAACTGAAGTTCAGCTAACTCATATACTTCTGAAGAAAGAGTTGACCTGTTTACATCATTGACTAGCAATGCACTGATATTTTAGTAAGTAGCTGATTAACAGCAAGCTCAAGTTAAAAAAAAGAATTTGAACTGATGATGTGATCAAAGTTACAGATTTCTGATTAATTTCCTATTATGTCATTAAAATATTGTCTTTGAATAGTGGATAAAACTTCATATATGTGATGACTTGGCTAATAGAGCAACAGCACTACAATACAGCATTACTTTATTGGCAAATCATTCCCTTTGCTTCCCTACTGTGAATATTGCTTGACAGTATTTGTGAAAAGTAATTAATCTCTAAAAACTGATCTAGGAGAAACTGAGTATTTAATATTCCTTCACTTCTGTGTTCAATATTGTATATTCAATATTGTGCACTGTACATAATATTCTGTTCAATTTGTACAACTGTGACTTCGAAAGAGTTGCACTACATAGTTTTAAATCTCTTTACATTTTTAGATAGTCTGGTAAATCTCATAAATGTTCCCAAAATTAACAATTCTAAACAATGTTAATTACAAGATCTTAGAAAAAACATACATATTTGATGTAATTTTGCATGACATCCTTCAAGGGGCAAAACCCCTCTTTTCTGAAGATAGAGGGGTTCCACATGGCAGCACGAGCAATCATGACTGATGAGGCAGCTGTGGCCTTCTGGAAGGTTGCAATGTCTGTGTATTCTTTGATGAAGTCATGAGATCCTCCACTAAAAATTAACAACATTAATATAATTAATCATGGCTCTTCTTCCTGCACTTGGAAATCTTAAGTACAGGCACCTAACCATAATGAGCTAATTAATCCAACTTACTTTGCTATTACTGGAATGGAGACAGCTTCAGATATGGCCTTGATCACATCACAGTGGACAGGGTGCTGAGGCCTCTCCTCCTTCTTCCTTTCCAACAAACAAAAAAAAAAGACAAGACCAAAGATTTCCTGTGGAATTTATAGATCTCTAAACCACAGCAGATGTGACAATGATTATCGGGATATACTTGTTTCAGCTTATTTATTTTATGTATTTGATCTTTCAGATACAAAGCATGCAAAATAATTTTAGTTTTATTTGGTTTTTGAAAACGAATATTTAGGAAAATATTTATGCTCTTTAGGAAAAGAGCAGCAAGCAATTCAATTCCCTAATTATTGACTTGATTTCCTAGAACACAAAATCAGTTAACAGTTGAAATCAGAAGGACATATTACATTTAGAGTATACTCACATCAGTCATACTGTGCTACAGTCATCAACAAACAAAAAGTCTTTCTCACCTAAAATCAATTTACCTTCCATGGACTGCAATGGCAGCAATGCCAGTTTTCTCTATTCTCTTCACCAGATTGACAGTATCCTCAACCTGAGAAATAAGACAGACTGAACAGATTACAAATTTTCTCAAACCAGGTAACATAATACTCTGTAGCAGGAGAATATTTTCCAACAGATTTTCAGACTGTCAATTGAAAATGATTGGAACACTTGATTAGCAAGTCCTAATGACCATTCTCTAAATAGTAATTAAAATGCTTTTCAGTAAGAGGATGTTTTCTGAAATCAACCTAACATGCAATCACACAATTCTGAAATCAACCTAACATGCAATCACACAACTATAAATATTCCTCTCAGACATGTCTTAAAAATGTTAACCAGCATCTAAAAAATTCTAAGGATACTCATACCTGCCCAGTAAATCAAAAGGCCCAGTGTATTTTCAAAGAGGTAAAATGCTCTTAACAAGCAGAAATAAAATAGACACACTGCTGTGTCAGCCTGTCTTATCCATCTTTAGGGAAAGGGAGAATGAAAAAAACCCAAGGCAAGTTTTCCTTTCAAGAGCTGGAGGAGTACCTGTGGCTCATCCCAAATATGATCCCAAATCAGATTCAGTCTTTGGAAACTTCAACTGTCCCAGTTGGCAGGGATTCTGAGCCAGAAGCTCACCTGCTGTTCTGATGGATAATATTATGTAAAACCAGCTTGAAACAAAAAAGAAGAGGCTCTAGGATAAAGGTGCCACTTCTCTGATTCAATACTTCAGAAACAAAATGATCTTAGACTGGGTTACTGATTCTTTTCACACAAGCTTCATTTGTTTATCCCAACACATAAACAACTTCTGAACAAACCTGGCTCAGGTACAGTTCATCCATCTACTAAAATATCTATTTAGGTCATATGCAATCAAAGTATCTAGGCGGGTATTTTAATAACCAAATGCAAAATAATCAGTCTTTAAAAGAGAAGGCAAATCATCTCTTGGAGGTTTAAAAATACGTAGAGAATTTATCTGCAAAAAAAAAAAAGGCAGTAAGGAAGATACATCAGCTGTAAAAAAAGTCTGGGAAAAGATTCTGAAAAAGACAGACCCTGTAACTTCACTGGCTCCTAAACCCTTTTGTACCTCTATGACATAAAAATGACTCAATTGAGAAATTTAGAGGATAAAAGCCTCTGTGCCCTTGCATATAATGGAATCAGACAAGCCCACAGTCACTGTGCACCTTGCAGGTCAGATAACCATTTAGGCTGGCACAGCAATTACAAATTGTAATTTCACAGCAGCAGCTGTACAGTGAAACATACTAGAACAATATATATTCTAACTGATAATAAATTGGAGAAATTACAGCCAAATACTTCAGCACAATGATTTATGTTCTTACTGAGGGCAAAATGCGGATTTTGCAGGTTACTGGTTTACAAATTCCTTTAACAAGGGTGGTCAATATCTGAAAAAAAAGGAAAAAAGAAGACAAAAACCTGATCACAACAGTGGCATTACTAAAAGTCTCCTCCCTCTTGAAAATGTTAGAATAATGTAATACTGTTTACTGTTCCTCTATAAAGAATCTTACATGCTAGGCAGACATATACAATCTGTAACTGAATATACAATTTTATCCAGTAGATACACAAGCCTACTTCCAGTCTAAGACATTTTTGCTTCCACTTCTTTGCTGATTTCAACTGGATTTTTAGAGAGCAATTAACTGATGCTGGAGTTTCAACACTGCTTTTTATATGAGGTGGCCAGTGAACTCTGATAATTTCAGATTGCATGCATAGACATGTAAAACTTGCAAATACTGCACCACACTGGAAGTTTTCAAACTGAGAAGAAAGAAGCTGGCAATTGTATAGGCCAGATAATGGAAATGAGAAGTAAATTAGGAATATTTGTATATAACCTTAATTCCAGTGTCCTAAACTGAATATTCCACTCCAGCAATGATAAATTTACTGTCTATGCAACTCATTCCTGCTGCCAGTAGAGCACAATGCACAATTCTTTCCAAGGCAGCTCCAACCCCACGAGGTGATACTTACAGACTCAATTTTGTCAGGATCAGTCAGCAGTGCTGCTCCCATACCTCCCTGGGAAAACAGACAGAAGCTGTTACCCATCAGGCAAACACATTTTTCAACTCAATTGTTTTGCCCAATAGCAGACTGTAACAAAAGCACAATGTTGTATTAAGGAAAAAATAGCAAAATTTAAAATACAGGAGCATCAGTGAACATTTTGGTGCAACATTTCTTAGACCTGTATCAGAATAATTAAGCAGTAATTCAGGGCATCAACTTGCTCTCATCACTTTATTGAATGGATAGGATTTCAAAAAGCTATTTTTAGCAAATATAATCTTCCAGTTTCTCCTCATTAATTGACAGCTGAAAAGATTTATTGTTTTAACATTACACATCACATTTGAGAGGTTGTTAAGTCAGTACTTTCTGTCTACACCCTACATTTAAAAAAGAGACTACGACAAATTAAGTGCCTTTATTGAATAGAAATAATGAATATTTAACATAGTTATGAACAATTTAATATTTTAGCTGTTTTTCCCACATTGTTTCATCTGCATAGATAGATGCAGAGGCCACCAACTTTTTTGACCAACCTTTTTTGACCCAGAACTATTGTTGGAGAATAACCATTCACCAGCAGTTGAAGTTTTGATCTTTCACTCTAGTACAAGATGGATATTTTGGTGTTTTGATCTTAATTATGGTTCTGTGGAGCAGTTGACATCAAAATGGTGCAATTTATTGATGCTTTATCTCTGCACCACATGGCTTAACAGTCCTAACAACCAGTTTGAATGCTCTGTTCTAGTCACAGACCAGAAGTAACAGTTTAATTTAGAACTGCATGTGCTTTACTACAAAAAAAAAATTAGAATCAGGTTTTAACTGATCCATTGTCCTCCCACTTAAAATTGACAAATAACTGAATTCAGCATTACTAAGTTGTGACTGTTTTTTGCCATCTATTTACTCATATGACAAATTGATTTCAATTTTTATTAAAGCTAGGCAGAACTTTTTTCACTCACCCAACAAATTAATGATGTCAGAAAAACATTTAAATACCCTAAACAAAACACTTTATTTTATCTAGCCTTTAATACTTTAATTTCTAACAGCCTACATTATTTTACTGTGTTAGGGCCATGACACTTTTGAGAGTCTTCTGTTTATTACAAGAAATTAAATTCAACTTTTTTCTGCAAATTTTACTGCTTGAATTTGAAAACTAGACCATATATTTCACATTCCACACCAGAAAGACAGAAAAGGCCCATTTAAGAGTAATCAAAATCTACTTACCTTAGTAGAATATTCTTTTGGGCATCCCATGTTGATATCAATACCAGCCACATCACTCTCTCTGAAAGAGAAGGAAAAAATTAAAATATTTTTAGCATATTAGAACAAGTATCAAGAAACAGATATCCTTCCTTCCAGGTAATTTGTTCCATTGTCATTAAGGCTTAAATGAGAACTTAAGGTAAAGTTTGCTTGAACTTCTGAATTTTAAGTCTCTCACTTATTTAAGTTAAATATATAAATTTTAATGGTGGTCTGAAGATCACCCTGTCCACAGGTTTCAATAACCACTGCTGTGCAGAAGCACTCAAATCCACCACTAAATTCACTACAATCACTACAGCAAGTCCTATTGAAACTTCTATCTATTTAAATGGAGGTTTAAAACCTCCTTTTTGAGAGTCACTTTTCATTTTGGCACAACACATTACTGGAGTCTTTAAGCCACAAACAGTAAGGGACATTTTCAGGTATACTGGTCTTGCAGCTGTGCAATACCCATTCATACTGGAAAGATCAAGGACACATCTGCACCAGCAAAAAGCCATCCCAGCACAGAATATATGCAGCTGAACTTTTCCTGGTTCCATCAAGAGCTACCCTGATGCTCTCAATCATAAAAAATTGTCTTGTACAAAAAAATTGTCTTGTACAAAAAAAACCCAGACAAACCCATGGTAGGAAGGGGGTGAAAGTAGATGACTTACACAAGCTTAGCTACTGCCAGGGCTCTTTCAGCATCTGCTGAACCCTGTTGGTAAAAGAAGAGGATTTATAATTACAAAATATCATCAAATTAATAAAAAATTAATAAAAGGTGCTTACTTGCACATGTGTACAACTATATTTCTTCTGAACATTTACTACAGAGAGAGACCCACTCAGAGGCATACCGGATACTTAAAACATTTACCTACAGCACATACAGGAGTCAGCCACTGGATAAAAGGTGATACAAAAAGGATCCAAAGAGGTCTGTCTGCCCTCTTCACCTACAGCAATATCGAATGTTCTTAGCCCTTCAGCAACAGATAACTATTTTAATGTTCTTCAGAACCTCCACTAATAACAATTCTACAGACTCTACAAGCAACCTATTTCAGGGCTACATTACCACTGAAAAAGGTCTTTTCAGTATCTAATGCAGTCCACTCACGCTACTCCCTCCCTCCAAGCCCATCATCTCTTGTCCTGCAGAGTGGTCTCTAAGAGCAAATTACCGTCTTTTTCTCTTCTGCATAGAGAATCTTTAATCCATTTATGCAATGCTAATGCACAAATTAATCCTCTCTTATCTATATTCAACAATGCCATTTCTTTCAGTCCTTCCAGTGAGACTGTTTATAAGACAGTGAAAAACTTCAATGTGTGATCAGACATCAGCACAATTTACATCTAAGATACCTGTTATAAAAACAAGCTGCTGGAGAGCACAGAGGTTATCTTAATCACCTCTTCTGAAAACAGACAGAATCTTGATTTGTACCAACAGCTCAGAAATTCTGCAACATGTTTGACGTAAAACTTTACCTGTCCCTGAAACATCAAGAAATTGACAGTCTGCATCAGGGAGAGTTGCTTTAGGCTGACATCAACATGTCACCAGCACTACCTCATTTAACTACATTGTTAGAAGAGTATCTGGTTTCTCACCATTTGGAAGACAACACGTTCTCTCTCCCTTTCACAAGTTCTGAAAACAACTCTTTCATTAGGCGCAACAAAGTCCACTGTTTCAAGTACTTCTGTATGAAATGAGAAACACATAAAACAGACAAAAATTCTATACAAATGTAAAAATTTAAAAAATATGTCATATGACCATGTCATTTGTATATAAATGAAATGCCATCAAAGTAATTTGATGTTCTTTGAAAAGTATCAAAGCCCAGTGATGACTCAGCCAAAATGAACAGTACTATTTTTGGGAAGGGGCAGGAGGAGAAAGGAGATTTGTAGTGAACTTCTGTTTCCCAGCAGGAACACTGCAAACAACTGTTTCTATGCCACTCAAACAGGGCCCGGTCTCAAAGATACCTTTTTAAGAACTTTAAGAACTTACAGTGACAATCATGTTATTCCAAGTCCAGCCCATCAAGTTAATAAATGAATGATAAACAGAGAGATCTCATATATGTTGCTTTCTTATTGCAGAAGACTAAAAGGTACCATGTCACAAACAGCTAACATTTAAAAAGACTCATGGTTGGAAACTGTCTCTACTGCAGTCCAAACAAACAAACTAAAGTTTCAAACTATAGAGCAGCAGACAGGTCTAAGGTAGCACTTCAAAAGTTTACTGTAAGCTCCTAGACACAATTCAGTGAGATTATATGTACTGATACATCACTATAATCACTAGACAAATGCTTCAGAGAAATAATTACCCTTTTTCTTAACTAGAAGAGACTCCTTACAGGTGTTATCAAAAGAAATGCCACACTTACCATTTATAACCCTCTTACACTGCAGCATCTTTATGTCAATCAGCTCCTGAGTAGAAAGGATAAAAAATGTCAATGAGTTGAATTGTTTAAGCCAGTTAGCTCTAAACAGTTGCCCATTTTATTAAATAATTATCTAGAGAGACCAACTTCTCTGAGCAACCTGTCCCAATACATCAGCACCCTCTGCTTAAAGAAATACTAATACTAATATCTAATCTAAAGCTCTCTTCTCTTCAGTTTAAAACTGTTCCCCCTTGTCATATCACCATCTGTCCTTGTAAAATGTTCTTCTCCCTCTTTTTTAAAAGCCCCCTTTATGTACTGGAAGGGCTCAGCGAAGTCTCCTCAGAGCCTTCTTTTCTCCAAAGAGAACAATGCAAGCTCTCTCAGCCTGTTTTGTAAGAGAAGTGTTCCAGCACTCTGATCATCACTGTGGCCTCCTCTGGATCCACTCTAACAGGTCCACGAAGTTCTTCTGCAGGGGACTCCAGACCTCAATTTCAGCCAGATTTAAAGAAAGTGTTTAAGAAACAAGGAGAGCAATTCTATGAGTGAAATATATGGATGCACAGCAGAACTAACCAGATGAGACATGAAGTCAGTCTTCAAAGTTCCTTCAAAGTTCTGACTCTACTGAAAAAAGAAATAGAAAAAAAAAATACTACTCCCTCAAACGCAAATAAAAGTACAACTTGAGGAAATTGTTATGGTGTTCTGTCTAAAGTACTTGAAGCTACTGAACAGCCTTAAAATATGGGTTTGCCAGAACTTGAAAATGGCTCAGAGAAATGTCTCAAGACACCGAGATTCTTCTTTCCTCATTTTAGTGGAAAACTATGGATAAAAAGAACAAGTCATACAATGAAAAAAGTCCATTTGTACTTTTCTTAATAATAATGTTACCAGATAAAAATGCCTCATCTGCTCCTTCTCCATACCTCACAGTATACGATATCGGCACCGTAGTCCAGAGCAAGCAGACGCATTGGAAGTGTTCCCACTCGCACCATTGGAGCCAGGATATTCTTTCCTCTAAAGCACAGCGGGGTGTTCACCGTCATTCCTGCGGCTGTACCACCTGAAAGACAGAGCCCAGGGGGACTGCCATGGAGCGTCATTTCCTGCCCGCAAACACAGATGGGTCCTTTGCCGGGAAGGGGCGGTGGGTGCCCCGCCAGGTGTGACAGGGCTCTCCGGGCAGCGGGGAACAGGCTCACCCAGCCTGAGGGAGCCGAGGGCGCCGGGAGATGCTCCCCGCCACACGGGCTCCTTCCCGAGCGA